GGGGCACAGGGCAGATTTTAGACATTTTCTGAGGACATGGTCTGACGGAGCGATTGAAAAACTTTTTTGTTTCAGCAGTGACCTACTATTTTTATGGCTTTATTGAAAAGACCATGAAATGTACTTTTTGCTGACATGCGAAGACTAAGTGTCGGATAACCTTTTGACCCTCAAGAGGAGGGTTAAACATGGATTTGTTTACTGTTAGAAAGAATTTGACTGCCGGGTTTGCTAGTAGAATCTATACATGCCTGAATGTATAGAGGCTATATGAGGCTACAATGTCACAGTGAAATTTCAAAAGCTAAATTTGGTTGAAGAAGGTTTATACTCCTTAAATCGTATAATTTCTATGGCATTCTGTACTGTCAGTGTGTTACATGTAACCAAGAGCTAATAATACCTAGAGTGTACAACGGAAAAACGGGAAAATAGTGATATTTCACGACTACATTATTCTACTTTGCCTGCGAGTCTAGAATAATTTTATGGTATTGCATTAAGCAGAATTCCTTGCTCTCTACAACAAGACCAACCGCTTGTCAATACGATACTCCTAGGCTGAGATATCGGCTCCTAAACCTCCCCTCCCACATGCCTTACGCCGCTTTGAATCCACATTATTCAGCAACCTACACGCGTCTAAGCATTGCTTCGTGAAAGTTCGGTTTTCCGCGATAAATTTATGAATGAACGGTGCTTCGTCTATGCCCTTATCTTCCATTATCTTTCCTAGCACGGCTAATGCCCGTCATGATGGAGCCGGCTCCATCAAGTTTTTACAACGCAGCTCAGTTACTCAGTGTAGTAAGAGTACCAAATTTGGGCATGTGACATCAATTATCAGCGCTCCAAGCGGTGACGGAAACCGATAGCCAAAATGCTTAGATGCGTGGAGGTTGCTGAATGATGTGGATTCAAAGCGGCATAAGGCATGTGGGAGGGGAGGTTTAGGAGCCGATATCTCAGCCTAGGAGTATCGTATTGACAAGCGGTTGGTCTTGTTGTAGAGAGCAAGGAATTCTGCTTAATGCAATACCAAGAAATTATTTTAGACTCGCAGGCAAAGTAGAATAATGTAGTCGTGAAATAGCACTATTTTCCCGTTTTTCCGTTGTACACTCTAGGTATTATTAGCTCTTGATGTAACTTATGCCACTGGTGGTGGCCACTGCCAGTGCATGTGGTGGTGATAGTACTGTGTAGTTTTTGCCTGCGTTAATTAGTTACAGGTGGCAGCTCTCTATTTCAGCCTGTAGGCTTGCGTAGGTAAATGGATCAGTGCTTACCTATTCTGTCTTGCAAATAGTTGTTGCTACTACGTACGATGGGAGCTTCCATCTTTAATCTTAAGACACTTAAACGTTTGCGCCATCTCGTGGCAACTTTCATAACGATCCCAATGAACATTCCTTTGAGAAGGTTCCTGATACCATCGCTGTGCCTTCCACTGTTTCGGCGCATATGTGAACACATTTGGGACTAACAGGGTTTACTAGAATCCCACCACTCCACCACAGAGTCACCGCAGTAGACGTGAGATGAGCGCTGTCGCTCCGCGGCACTTGTTCTCATAATCGAGCGCTTAGTCGGTTGCTGCATATGTCTGACTTTCGATTATAATTGATTATCGGGACATCACTAATTATGACGTTGTACATACATGCTTCAGGATGACTACGTCAGTGGGAGGGTGGCCTGGGATGCGACACAGCTGGAGAGCAGTAAGAGCAGCCTCATCTTCGAGATTATTGAGCAGGAGAAGACAGTGACAGAGACATCCACCGTCTCGTTGCTGTCCCACTATCGAGACGTCGGCACTGACTATAACAAGTAACAGCATCTATCCAGGGGCTCCACTTAATATTTTAAGTATTTTAGGATGTTTTCATTGAGTATGTGCTCAAAATGCAAGGACTTTTTGCACGAACTCTGTCTTATTGTGTTAACATGTTATTGTTGAACCATTCAGATTGCAATGAATACACAATTATTGTCGATTTCACTGTTTAGAATCATTTGTACAAAATTAGTTTGCTGTGATCAATTTTTTGGACAAGATACTGTGTGCTGTGTGCATCGTTTAATCTACTTAGTAAACTGGCAGAGCAGTTTTCTTCTATCAATACAATCTGCACACAGTCCTAGTTCCACAGGCTGGAGCCACATACGCCCATGCTTCCTATGCCAGCAGTGGCTTGTTGTTTTAATTAGCACATGTATGGCTGACGAATGTTTAGCTGTATTTCAATTTACGTTGTTCTCATCCTTCAGGACTTTCCTCGAGAAGGTGTCGCGTGTTACAGTGGAGGACCTGGCTCGAGTGGGTTTAGAGCACATCGCACCGCTGTTTGACACTACACGATCCAAGTGTGTCATTTGCGTTAATCCAACACGTGTCCCAGAAGTGCAAAAAGCTTTCAAGAGGTAACAGTGATTAAAATTCATTGCAGCAGCACAATATTTTAGAGGCCTGTGTGATGTGGTTATAGAAGCTGCTCCAGGCAGTGGTATGTCGATAACCTGACCATGAGTATTTAATGTAATAACTTGTGTGTGTTTACTCTTTTAAACTTTTGCTATTACAGGTTTAACCGGGACCTAACCATTCTAAAGACCATCGAGGAAGGCTTTCTCTGTGAGATGTAACGCTCCTACTACGTGATTCAAAGATCTCTAGGAGATGGAATGCTTCCTATGTGTCGTGTCATGCTTCATTGTCTGTAGCTTCTTCAGCATTTTAATGCCTTTCTCTCTAGTGTGGTGCAATGTTTAATCTGTCAAATAGCAATCTGCAATATACAAGACTCAATAAGATGTGAGTCTTCATCTGAATTGACTGAGGCTCAGTAGTCATCCAGAAATATGGTGGCCATGTACAGTTCGGCTGCATTAGTGAATAATTAAAATAGCACCTTTAAATACATTAGTATACTTCAGTAATAAGTTAGTCATAAGCTGAGTGTGGACATCTAGGGGACAGTAGTTAAGGACTTGTATTGCAGATGCCTAGTTGTGAACATCTTTTGTTGATACATACCAACTGCTAATGACTAGTCTATATGTGTTATATTTTTTATTTACAGGTTGTTGTAATCTAAAATCGAAATCGAATGTAATAAGCAAGGTTATACAAGTGTAAAATGGTTTTTGATTCATATAAACTACCAGAAATTACTGGAAGAAGCAACACAAGTGGAAATATTCTGAAGTGATGAAAATGGTATGAGACGTGTCGGGCTCTAACATGATGGCATATACCGTTTCTTTATCTGTTATGATACCTGAACCTTTCTTATAATCATTTCTCATGACAAATCAGCAAAGATGGCAAATGCAGTTTGTTCATGAAACTTCGACAAATATATTGCTACAAATAGATATATGTATTGTAAATTGTGAAATTGTAAATTGATATGTGACCAAGGAAAACGTAGAATAAATTATTTCACTATTCTGCAATACCTTAGTATCATATATTTGCCGAGTAACTATTAGCTGTGTATGTATGTAAAGGCCCCTTCACACTAGAGCTACGCTCATCACGATCGCCCCACGCTAAAAAAATTTGCCCGTGGCCATTTGGGCCCCAGCCGGGCCCAGCGCCGATACTACGATCTAATTACGTTGATACTACGATCTAAGTGCGTCTTTACCCCGATCTCATTGCGCTCAACAAGGTTTCACCACGCTCAACTGCGCTCACTGCGTCTTTATTGCGACCAATCAGATTGCATTGCGTTCGAACGACGCTTGCACTGCGCCTAAGCAACGCTCACCGCGCCTCAACTGCGCGCCAATCACGCTCTAGTCAGGCGCCGACTGCGCTGGCAGCGACCATATAAATATATGCTGCGCCGCGTTCTACACATCATCATTCGTTCTGCCGTGCTGTTCACATTAAGATTATTTTCTACTGATTTTATACCCACAATAGTATAATAGTATGCTACAACTATGCCGCCAAAATACTTCTATTTCTCCTCCTCATCCTTCTCAGCATGATGAGGGCTTGGCAATCAAGTATTCGAGTTGTCCTTCTACGAGAAACATGGCATGGAGTAGTGTTGCCTCATTCATAGTGGACACTGAACTGGTGGGGTGGCCAGGGTAGCACCCAAATTTATACCCCAAGTTTGCAGGACGTGATCTGAGCGTGGTATTGCTCAGATAACTAACACATAATGCGAACGCCACAACAGCGTTGTCTGAGCGTGTTGGGCGTAGTACAATCGTAGTACGAACGGGTCGAGCTTGCTAGAGACGCACCATGGTCATAGCGAGAGCGTGCTCAGGTCGCAGATACATCTCCATGCACGTAGTAAACGTGATGAACAGCGTGATGAAAACGTATTGACATCGTGCTGAGAATGGGGCGACAATTTTCACGCACCCGACACGCTTGCGATACGCTTGCGATACGATCATTAAGTTCGTACTACGCTCGAGTTACGTGGGTACTACATCTTCCACGTCTCTAATACGCCCGCACTGCGCTGTCTTTCCGCCACGCTCGCACCATGATTGTTTTGAACATGCCCAAAGTTTGGCCATGCTCTCCACGCTCATGGTGACTACACTGCGCTCGATCGCGATCGCAGTACGTCCATATACGTTCATACTGCGTTCTACACGTTTCCACCACGCTCTTAGAGCGTAGTACGAGCGTAGTGAGATCGGGGCCATGGTGTGAAGGGGCTATAAGCGCATCTGTCCTTTTAAGAAAATTGTTTTGGAATCTTTCCAATTTTCTAGAAATTTAGTTACATTGTATAATGCGCACGAGTCGTTTATAACGATGTCAACGATTCCATTCTTACTACATGTGCTATAGTAATACAATGGCTTGCGCTTTACAGTTATGTGAAAGAAGCAATTATGTTTGTCACACGTCAACCTGTTTGTTTACATTTACTTTTCCTATACACAAAGTTATATGCATCGGCTGTTGCAGTGTAACTGTTCTGTACTATGTACGAAATAAGAATGAAAAAGTAATAGTACCAAATAATGATCCTGTCATAGTAAGCAGCAGCATTAACTGTGATTTCACTGATTTGGGATGTAGATCGGAAGTTAAGTTGGTTAGTTTTTTTTTTTAATTATGGCTTTACTTAACAATAAGCCAAAGTCAATGCAATGCAAATTTTGAAAATTTGCAAGAATTTCACCTCCATTTTAGTGTAATAATTGCAAAATCTCCATCGTGCGGGAGGGTGAACAGTGAACACCCCCCTCCCACACCCTCCCCCCGCTCGGTCGCTTGGCTCCCTCGCCTGGTCGCTTTGCGCCCGAGCAGGGGCGTGTACAGGGGGGGTCCAGGGAGTCCGGACCCCCCCCCTTTGCTCGCGCAGAAAACGCATCTGAGGGGGTCTAATTTTAAAA